CTGTCCCCACTGTGTTCTCAATCAGTGTCCCTTTTTGTCTTGAGACACTCCAATCTTCCACCTCCTTGTGGAACTTCCAAACTGGGACGAGAGTGCTTTTCCCTTTAGAATCAATTACCACGTGATTGATGGCAACTAATGACAACAACAATATTTAACATTTCCTTTTTTGTTTTTTTGTAGTTGATGGAAAGCAGAAATTTTAAAATAACTACATTGGCTAAAGAATTAATACTTCGATATTTGCCAGATGAATCATCTGAGAGGAAGAAAATTCATGATGAAGAAATGTTAGAACTAACAAAGTAAGTGTTCCTGCTGTATGTGCTTGGCTTTGTAGTCAGATGAAAAAAGAATATCTGTGTTTATGTCATAGGTTTATTTCAGATTTTTCTCTTGGCAAAGAAATTAGAAAAAATCTGAATGGGGAAAAATTTACAAACAGTTTATGGAAATAGAATTACAAGAAGTTATAGGAAATGTTTTAGACTTGTATTTTAACAGAAATATATAGTTGCATTTTGTATTGAAATAAGTGATAGTGATTTTTCCCCCCGGAATGGAAAATACTGTATATGTGGAACTATAGGAGGGAACACAAAACCCTGATTTATGGCTTATCCAAACCCATTGTGGTGGAGTCAATTCCAACTCCAAGTAATCCTACGGGACAGAGTAGCGGTGCTTCAGGGTTTCCAGGCTGTAAATCTTAGAGAAGCAGACCCCCCACATGGTTCTCCCATAGAGTGGCTAGTGGGTTAGAATGGCCTACATCTCGGTGAGCAGCCAGTTGCTTAACCACTGTGCACCAGGGAAGAATGAATATATGTCGACTTTTTTTTTAATCATTTAATGTGCTTAAAAGGTAGGAGCTCTAGTTGTTTAGTGGTTAAAGTGTTTGGCTGCTAACCAAAAGGTCAGCGGTTCGAATCCACCAGCTGCGATAGGAAAAACATGAGGCAGTCTGCTTCTGGAAAGATTTACAGCCTTGAAAACCTTCTGTGGGTCAGTTCTCCTCTGTCCCATATGGATGCTATGAGTCAAAATCAACTCTAGGGCAGTAGGTTTGGTTAAGCCATAATGTTTTTTTGTATAGTCATATAACTTGGTGTGTTCTCTCTCATCAAATGAAATAAGTTGGGCCTGACAGAAGGCTCCCAATGAACTGGGAATTCCAAATGAACTGAGATCTTTCTCATACTGTGGTCTCTGGCTTTCTTTTCTCCATTAATTCTCCAAACTGAGGGCTTCATTTTGTAAATGAGAAAATTGAAGTTGGTTGTTATTTTACAACGTCTAGTACTTCATTTTGTCTCTAATGCATTGTGTGTCTAAGTTAACATTTTTCTTTACCTTCCGGTTTGACCAGAAATGTTCCCATCCTTGCGAGTGCCATGGCCTTCCCTACACTCTCTTTTCCACTCCATGTCATTGAGTCACAGTATCAGCTTGTGATAAGCAGATGCATGGAAAGTGGCGTCAAACGCTTTGGCATGTGTTTGCCTACTGAAAATGCAGGGTAAGAATTATCCGTATTCTAACGGTTCTTCTTAAGTGCACAATTTTTTATTTTTCTATTTATTTATTTACATTTATTGTGATTTGGGTGAAAGTTTACAGAGCAAATTCACTTTCCATACAGAATTTTTTTTTTTTTTTTTTTAATTGTGATTTGGGTGAAAGTTTACAGAGCAAATTCACTTTCCATACAGAAGTTCAAATACACTTTGTCTCATGACATTGACCACAATTTACCACAATGCAACAGCTCCCCTCCCACTTCCTCCCCATAGTTACCTCTTCCCTATGCCCTTCCTTCCATGCACTCCTGTCCCCTGAGCTGTGTCCCTGTGCATACATAGCCCTTCTATTCTCCTATGATTGTTCTTGCTAAGGAGTGTATCTACCTAGTGTAAATTTTCATCTCATATGCCTGTCTTTTGTTTGGATGGAAGCTACTGGTGTGTGTTCAATTCCAGACCTGAAGGTCAGCCAGGGGCCATAGTCTTAGTGGTTCCATCAGGCTGAGGATCGCATGGTGTACCAGTTGCTTGGACTAATTGTTTCCATGTATCTTTCATTTTCTTCATTCTTCTTTGCTCTGGATGAGGAGAGACCCATCATTGCATCTAAATAGCTGCTTGCAAGCTTTTAAGATCCCAGTCGCTGCTCTCCAAAGTAGGAAGTGTAACAGTGTGTAGTATGTTATGCCAATTGAGCTTGAGTCCCCTGCAACTGTTGTTGAGAGCCCACAGATTGAACTACTCACTCCCTTCTTATTTTTCTTAAAGAACAATTATGAAGTGTTTGAAAATCTCCAGTGACTCCCATTACATAGCAAGGTATGAGTTTCAGGCCACCCATGATCAGATTTCAGTCATATTTTTGCCCATCTATCACTCGCTCCTTTCAGTTTTCATAGTTCCTGGTCCTTCTTTATAAATAAAGCTCATGCTCTCATACCTCCCTGTTCCCGTTCTTATAATTTCTCTGCTAGCAATTTTCTTGTGTCTCATCTCTATGCAGGCAAACCTTGTTCAACTTTCAGCGTCCAGGAATGCGGCTTCATGAAGCCCCCTTTTACTGTCTCCACAGCCAGAAAAGTTTCAGTCTTACAAAATTCGTGGCACTTTTATGTTGATACCTCTCGTAGTTTTCCATCATTGGTCTAGGGAGACTATTGCAAGTCTAATGCCAGCTGTCCTCCAGCTGATGGTTTGGCTTCCTGGTTGCCTGGGCTTTATCAGCATGGTCATGTTCTAGCTTGTGGATGAACAGAAGCATGGAAGGAGGCACATGTGTCCTTAAGACTCTGATAGAAGGAAGCA